CGGGCTAATATGTCAATAGTACCTTTGGGTGTTGGTCATAGGATCAGACATATGAAGTACTAGGACCAAGTGCAAAAGTTAAGTGCTATAAATGCCATTCACAAGGCTAGTATGTCCCTAAGTTCAAAATAGGACTTATGGAGGTTGTGAGTAAGAGTTCTCCAAATGGTCAAAGGTATAGATAAGTGATTAAAGTAGAATAGAAAATTTAGTCACTTATAGCCATCCTCTCCACCTTGTCGATGTCATCAAAGATATATATGGGAGCCCATCGTAGCAGAACTTAGTACTATTGCACAATTTTGCTCTTTTGATAGTTTCTTATGTTGATAAGTTCAAAGTCTCTATCCTCTAGATCCTCAATGATGAAGAGCTTCTTGGCTAAAGCTACAACCTCATTCTAGGACACCATTTGATCTTGAGCATAGTGTGTGATAAATATTCTCTACACCTCTCCCAAGAGAACCATATAGAACACATTTATCTTCTCAAGATTAGCTACCTTATTGTTATATTTAAATACATCTAGGTAACTATCAAAATCATCTCCAAGTTGGAATATGGGATACTTTAGTTTGGCTGGGCATAGAGCCTCCCTACAAAGAGAGCTTGCTTGCTAAGACTTGAGCTTCTAGTGCCAGTGAGATTATACATCATCTTAGGACTCTTGAGAATAATAAAAATCATTGTTGCAAGTTGGTCTTTTAAGATATCATATCTCAAGTACAGGAGAATTCTCAACTTGTGTCCCAGGCAACTCCTCACTCACATTTCTCAATTCTTCCATTGGGGAACCCTTGTGAGCCATATTTGCCTCCATAGTTTCCATGAAAAAAAGCTTGCCACACCACCAGCCATGGTGAGAGTTGCATATGGGGTGATCAACATCACTTTCCAGCAATGCCCTTGGTATCCTCATTAAAAGTCTTGATGCCACACAAAGCCTTGATGCCTCTCATCAAGCTATTAGACTCTACTATGCTCAAGTTAGCAACCACTCATATAGCTCAATTTATCATTATCAAGCTTCTTGGTAGTTCAAGAATGAAGGACAGCCACACACTGCTCATAAAAGCATTCAGCAATATGGTTGCCCCTCATCTCCACCAAGACTTGTTCTCATTCATGGACTCATGCACTCACAAAAACAAAGCTTCAAAGAAAGCACACCTTTCTAGTTGTAATGTCTACCAAACACCCTACAAGCTCAGACTCTACACCCCACCCCTGAGGAACTAATTTCCCTTGCCCCACAACCTCACAAAAACCATTCTCCTCAAAATGTATCACCATGTCAGCCTTTTTGCCAAGAAGTGCCGCCTATACTAAGATCATATAAACTAGTCACCAATTCAAATAAGACACCTTAGGGCGTGGTTCCATGTATCCTCCACTTGGAATTTCTCCACAAAAGAAAAAAAATTTCCCTTTATCTAACATTTTAAGATTACATGTAATCCCTTTAAAAATACCATATCATTAATATAAATTTTGCCAACTCAACTAAATTCATTTTGTCTTTTATAAGTGTGAGTGCTTGAGATATAAGAATAAGTATATTAATTGGGGTTTAAACCCCTGTTTATATACAAGAATGGATGGACTAAATTCAATCCTAAATGAACGGTCTATATGCTATACTATTATAACTAGTGTATTATCTAGCCAAGGTAATACATATATATACATACATATATTCATAAACCTTACACCATCCTTCCCTCCAAAAGATGAAAAAGGTGATGCTAATAAGTCAAATGGAACATCTAAATCTTCTGTTGGAAGATTATAAAGTACTATAAGAATTTGAAGCTCCCACAAAACCATTAATAAAGTTGCTGATAACTATGATTTAAACAAAACCCAAAGCCATGGCATAAGCATCAGTCAACTATTGAATCTCAATAAACCAGTTGTAATTTAGTGTGCAATTGTTAAATGCTTAAACCATTCTTGAAGCCATAACTTTAAACCAAACCAAAAGACTTTGAAAATTATTGTAGTCCATAAAATGTCATTGCAACAAACGATATATCCTATGTTTAAATCTACCCACCAATAATCCTCCAAAACCATTGTTAACTCGAACGCACAACCATATATAAAACTTGCCTCTTCGTTTTTGTTTAGCATTGCATATAGAAGATTGAATTCACTCCATTTGTCCTCCATATCCTTCTTATCCCCTCCTTGAATGAAATTTTTTTTTTTAAGCACTGGCTCCATTTGGACTCATTATGCTTGTCTTCAATCTACCATTTATGTTCAGCTTTGCTTCACTTCACTATCATATCCATCCACAAAAGTTGGAGATGGCAACATACTAAGGATGGGTGTAACATCAATATGATCACATTCCACAATACCAAAAGTTTGATCCAATAAAGTAATATTAGCAACCTCAAATGATATACTCATTAATCAAGGATGGCATGGCATGGTAAAAGAAGAGAATGTAATGAATATTAGAAGAAAGAGTAAATCTAAGTACAACAATAGCTAAAATTCTAAATTTTGCAAAAAGCTAGAGAATGAAGAAATAAAAATAATAAACACAATCCTAAACACTAGAGCAAAGCATTGCCAAAAAACTTTACCTTTCAAGGACAAATTACAATGCCTTTCACCTCTACCAATGTGAGTGCTTGAGATATAGGAATAGGTATATTAATTAGGGTTTAAACCCCTATTTATATACAAGAATGGTTACACTAAATGAATAATTACTACTATAATTAATGTATTACCTAGCTAGGGTAATACATGTATATACATACATATATTTAAAACCTTACATAAGTAATGATTACCATTTTAGACATGGCACCATTTTATTAGTTTGTTTTATTGAATTTCAGGTACCAAGAGAAGAGGACATCAAATTCTCCCTTCCCCCCAGTTCTAGTGCCATATTACTGATAGGGTGCACAGAGTAAAGGGTTAAAAGATTTCCCCCTTTAAAAAATTCCCCCAAAGGGGACACATGGAGCCTTTAGCCGCAAAAAAAAACCCAAAAAATAGAATCCCATTAAATTAAAATATTTGTTGATGACCAGCTTAAAATTGTTAAAGTGGGCTTTAGTTTCGTGGGTGTGAAGGCAAGAATTTTTAAAACAACATTTTAGTTTTTCAAGGCATTTTAAATTAACGTGATCCAGTGGCTATGGACGAAGTTTTTATATAAGAGAGCACCTCGTTTTTTATTTTCAATTGCTTTTTTTCCCTAGTAACAGATGGGCAATTTTTGACATGGAAACACATCGAAAAAGATGACAGGCCTCTGAAGCAGCTTTGCACAGATGGAAATGAACACAAAGTTAGTGGAAATTCTGAGTCAGAGTCATGTCTTCTAGAGTCGAGGATTTGGGGAGGTCTTGGCCCTTAGACAATAAGATGTTCCCTGGTGTCATCGAATCTTACGACAAAGTTTCGGGGGAACAGAATTTGTTTACGATGACAGTGATGAAGAAGAGGTGGTTTTAACCATGGAGAAAGTGGTATGGTTAGATGATGGGCGTGGGCAGACTCGCCAAACACATTCTTCGCCCAAAAACAACACAAATTCAGGCTGCAAGATAGAGGATGGGACTACCGTGAAATTCAAACCTTTCAGATGAAAGCCACTGACTGCAAAGTGGATGAATGTCCAGCATGGTGGTCAAAATGGCTACAAAGATCTCCCAAGTACCTGAGAAACATATGGAAGACCAAGAAACTTCAGAACCAACTAAGAGACGAAGACTTGACAATTTGGAGGCGGCTGCACTCTTATCAAAGCATATGGGAAAAACATATTAAAAATAAACTTTGCTGAGCTACATTATTGCAGGAGGTGGCGAAGCTCTTGAACGTTTTGGTGGTCGAGTTTCAGAAAAATTCTGGTTCCGATCCTCCAACACTTCTTTTACCAAGTGAGTTTGTGAACAGCTTACGGCAGGTCAGGTAAGATTTGACTTCAAAGTTGTAATGATCATACTCTTCCAGCAGAAGCAATGGTGGGAATTTAAAGCTAAACACATGGACAAAGTCTTGCAGTTTGTACATGCATTTTCTTGCAAAAGTGAACAATGGACGCCCATATTGGAGCCCAAGATCTAGATCTTCAGCACATGAAGGTTGACTTCAGTTTGGGCACAGTTATTTCCTTTCTGGCAACAAGCAGGGCGATCATTGACCGCATTGTGGCTTTCCGGAAAAGAACTACTCCGAAAATGTTGAAAGGTTGTTTGTACTTGTTACAAAATGCCGCGTCCTCGCAGAAAATAGACTATAAGAGTTTCATTTTGAAGAATGTCAATCATAGGCAGAATCACCTCCATAGTCTGAATTGATAAACCGAGCAAGGTTACAAGCAGTGGGGAGCTCTTCGAGGCGAACATGTAACCCTGGATTCGCAGCGCTTGTGCTGAGAATCTCTGCGTGGAAATTCCAGAAGTTCTAAAAGCTTATAAAGTTTGACTGTGGTTTCGTTGGTTTCTCATACAATCATTTATCTTGTTGTGAGCGGCATGATTCGTGGTTTTAGGGTTTGGAAATGGAGGAGAGTTTGTTCGACGACGAGGAGCGTCCCATCAAGAGAAGGGTACGTTTCCATCCGGCAGGAGAAGAGAGAGTGAAGAGGCAGCAGCTGGAAGGTGCTGAGTTCTTTGTGGTTCCTGATGAGATTACCAATGCGAGCAGATTGTGGCAATGGATCAAACAGATCAATCCGAATGTTCGGGCCCGTCTTACTCCCCAGGGTTGGATGGCGATGGTGGGCAGCAGTGTGAGAGATGGGCCTCTTCCGCATGAATTCGACTTGCACTTCCGCGAGGCTCTGTCCGCCAGGGTTGAATGGATGGAGGATCTAGTCTCCCGGATAGATAACTGGAGCGATGCTATTTTGACGC